TGTATGCCACATAATGTAGTAATAGTTACCAAATTAGTTCCATTGAAGTTTATGGTAAAATATTTCTAGTGGGCACATCTTGTAACCCCTTTTCAAGATGATTGGAGGAATCATTAATAATATTGTAAGAAACAAATCCCATGATTTTGTTTTGACAGATACATACAGAGAGTGGAGATTTTTGCTTCTTTTAGGGAATTGTAAAAATCATTCTTTTTCCGGCAGATTCCTTCCACTTTTAAAACAAACCTTATGTCATAGCCAGTAAAGGGGATATCCCCCATGAAGTTTCAGAAATTGGATTAAGTTTGATTTTATGGTTTCTTCATATAACATCTTTCTTGGATCTTAGACCATAAAATTGTTATTTTTCAACAAATTAGTTTATTGTTTTATTATATAAAATAAAAATTTCTGATAAAAGAATTAATGATGATAAAAGGATGCAAAAGATTGTTGATTAGATTATCTATTTTCTGCTTAATATTAGATTCCTAATGAAATAAATTTTTTCATATAACTTCAAAGTTACAATGAAAAAAAGCTTTGGAAAACCATAGTCTTATATTAAAGTGATAGGCACTGAACAAAAATCAAATTTTATGAAAATAATTAGATAATACAATTCATTGTAAAGTGAAGGTACTCCATGATTTCTTTTTAAGAGTCACAAACAAAAATTTTTATTTTGTAAACTGAACTGAACAAAATACTGAGAAAAGCATTTTAAACACAAATTTTTTTTGAAATGTAAATATATCAGAAGTAGTGCACTCAAAAATTCAAATACTAAATTCTTTTAGTGTAGAAATAATTGAAAAATTTTCATAAATACTTGAAGTATTTGGAATACATAGGCATCATAAAAAAAATATACAGTAGAGCGTCGATTTACCGAAAGTCAATCATCCGAAACAATTCCAGTTGGCAAATTTAAATTTTCGCCAGTGCTGTGGCGCTTCAATCTTTGGCTATGTCTTGGGCTACTCAAATATTTTACGTTTTTGATACTAAATTAACATCTAAAGTATAGTTTTTTATTATTTTTATATTTTTCAATATATTTATTTTGTTTGTACAAAATAAAAAAATAATTTTTAATGATACAATAGTCTTTGTTAGGCTTAACATCGACGAAAATTCAACACGAAGCGACACGCAACGGAGAAAAATTTTGAAATCGGATATGTTAAACTATTTTTTCGTACGTAAATCAGTTATCTGAAATATCAGTTATCCAGACATCCCCAGTCCCCAATTGATTCGGAAAATTGACGCTCTACTGTATATACATTAGTTTTGAAATTAGTTTGTATTTTCTGACAATTAGAACAATTGAAAATATTTGATTTAACTGAAGACTTCTCATGAAAGTTTTATACATTTTTATTTTTATTATGTAATTACTGTAAAAATTTGAAATTCAATTAATAACCATCTTAAAATAATTACCATGACTACTATCTGATAAAATTAATAAATACAATAAACTATAAATAGGTAGATACCATATTTATTTAACAAACAAACTTTAATAGGAGATGAAACATGTAAAATATACAACATACATTAGGATGAAATAAAGCAATGCAACATGTGGACAATCTGTCAGTGGGTACCTCCTAGAAGAACTTTGTGGTACACTGACTCCTATTTAGGTGTTAGATATATAGAGAGAACACAGAAAACTGTGTGACCAGCCCACTGGTGAGGCATGAACCTGTAACAACTACCAGTGTTTTGTGGTTTTATCCACTTTGCCACTGGTAGGTGACACACAGTAGATGTATTTTTAATTATTTTCTTATTACCAGTATAGAAAATAACACTTGTTATAAAATTTACCAGTTGTATTTCAAGTATAATTTGATGTAAAAATTAAACTTTCATAAATTAGTACAGTGTTTTTTTAATTCTAATGTGTACCTTTTTTGGATTTTTCTGATTTCAAAAATTCAGATTCACATTAGAATTAGACACAAAGTTGACTTAATGAAGCATTGGTTGCTCTTCACTTTGCTTAGCAATTCACATATATTACAACATTAGTATTTACATGGTACCCATTCCTCCCATTACTTGAGTTTTGGTGATCTTTTGAATTACAGCAAAGCAAGTGAATGATGTCCAGTAGACAAACCACCTATAAAATTGTGTTTAAAATGACAATCATGAAGAACATGTATATGGATATTTCAGTGTGATACTATGTATTGATATCTGGTAAATTTCATGTTTATACAATGTGAGATCTCAGTGTTAAAACATTGATTGTATGGTAATTTAGAATGATTTAGAATTTGTTCACAGATCCTCTGTACCTGATGATAGTCATAAATGAATATATTTGAAAATGTATTGAATCACTGTAAACATGAAAATAAAATTCTTTCAAAAAATGTGTTAATTACTGTCTAAATGCATTAACTTTTTGCAGTTGTGTTTTCAGTATAGAGTATTCATTACATTCATAAACTTTTTTGTGGTCTTGACATCTTGAAAATTAGATGTGCATTGGCTTCAATGGCACATTAGAATCAAGGAAACATGGCAACAGATATCAAACAAATATGTACAAAAGACATAAATTATATATTCTCTCTGTGGTTATTAAAATACCTGTAGCTATAATTTGAATAAAACTGGTGGTATAAAAAGAATTAATTCAATTTTTATGCTTTAATAATGAAAAGGAAAATAAATAAATTTTACATCAAAATTGTTCTAAAGTATAAATCATATGCTACATTGTGCACATATTAATATGTATGAAGATTATTGATATTGACGTTGTCTTGAGATAAGTTTTTCTTTTTGAACATATAAATTTGTTATATAATTCTCATTTTTCAAATTTGATCATATACAGTATATAGGAAAATTTCTGCATTTTGAATTTGAAAGGGAAAAATATATATATAGAAGTATATGAAAAATAGAAAAAGTTTTATTTATATACAATAAGTTAAAAGTTACATCACATTAAATGTTTAATGTACAGCATTAATGAAACTAAACATCTACAGTAAAAATGAGTCACAGGAATTATTATTCAGGCCAGTATTTATAGATAATTTAAGAAAACTTGTACTGCTTGTTTTCAACTCTTTCACTAACAAGTTTCAACTTTTATAAAGCTAGTTTTTGTAACAGTTGTAGTTTTTTGAAACTTATCTTTTATTAATTTGTTACCTTTTAATAATTCAAGAAGTTTGTTTTTACAATACTTTTGTCTATATGTTGTTTTTGCTATCATTTTGAGAGTTTTTTCTCTTCATGGTTTGACAGAGGAGAATAAATACATTAGCAATGTTAATGTATCATAAACTGTTTTATATGAATAAATATTTTCCAATAAAATCATTCCTCCTCATGTCTATTTCTTTTGCATTTACTTCTTGTGGGTATTGGTAATTAGGTGAAAAACTGAAAACTAGGAGAATAATGCAGATGTAATGGTGATTTTTTTCCAGATTTTATGCTGTCCAATCTTTGTCTATTGTCTTATCTTTTTATCTTTGTGATAAAACTACTTGTGGAATTATTGAGACTTTTAATATTTTTAACCTATAAAAATTCCACTAAGTGTTTAACTACTCGCTAACTTGTCCTACAAAAAATTGTTTTCCACCAGAGTTTCTGCTAAATTTTAATATTCTCACTAGATCTGATAGTTTTCTACTAAACTAGCAACTTGCTCACAAACAAAAGGCAAGTTGTGTAATAAAGTGGTTTTAACACAGTTGGATAAACAGGCCACTGATTTAGCCTGTTTTATTTGAAAAGGACTGTCATTGGATTGCTTATCCAGCTGTATTAAAGTTGTTTTACAAGGCAATGTGTCAAAAGGATTTACAGAACTGAATAGATCAGTCAGCATTTGCTGAGTTTGACTAGTTTGACTTAAGGTGGGAAAATACCTTTTTGATAACAAGCACTGAGTTCAGTGTTAACACAATTTTCCTATCTCGCAAGTACTTTCGACATGTATAATATCGTCGTCCTCAGGTGAAAAAGAACAAATTAGAAGAAATAGAATGTGCAGAGTGTTCCAAGTAGAAAATGGAAAATTTTCCCCTCAACTTGCCCAAAAATATGGGTTACTTTATTCCAGCATTTAAACAACAAAACGTGCCAAGAGTTGTACAATTAGCACGATTGCTTCTCAACGCATGCGCTGCCAGTCGTATGGATTTAAGAACTTTTGAACACCCAGAAAAACTTGTTGTATGTTACCAACAGAATTTACCGAACGTTATAATTTAAAAATTGTGAAGAAAATTTTCTGTTTTCTGCTTGGAACACTCTGCACGTTTTATTTTTTCTGATTTGTTCTTTTTTGCCTGAGGATGACGATATTATACTCATCGAAAGTACTTGCGAGATAAGAAAATTGTGTTAACACTGACTCAGTGCTTGTTATCAAGAAGATATACAATTTTGGCATGAGTTTTTTTTTAGCTATTTCTAGAGAAAAATACATTATATTTTATGGGGATTGCCAAGATCAACAATCCTGTTCATTTAGATTGAATTATTTATCCTAATAAATAGGGTTGTAATAAATTGGAGGGCTTATCACATCAAGGCTGACTGGAATAGACAGACTAGATTTTACAAAAAAATTAGCCTTTAATAACCTCCAATCAAATTTTAGTAAGAATGCATGCATTTCAAATACAAAGACCCCTCATCAGCTTACATACATACAGTACAATACCAGCATACATTAATACAAATGTAATGTGTATGTGTTATGTTTGTGTTAATGTTATTATAGTACATTACATATACTATGATATATTTAATTTCATATTTCAAGATTTGCTATAACATGTTATAGCAAATCTTGAAATATGAATTGGCATTAATTTAAAATGTTCCTTTTTTTAAATTTTTGTTAAGAAAGAGTTAGTATTAATAATATATAGATCTCAGGAATAGATTATTTATGAAAGAATTAATTTTAAATAAAAAAGTTAAATGCAGTTGATTTACAGGATATGTATGAAAAAATGATTCATGTTGATCCCAATGAACCAACTGAGGAAGAACATTTGCAAAAAGCTGTTACAAAACCTCGCTATATGATATGGCGAGAAACCATAAGTTCCACTGCTACACTTGGATTTCGTATTGAAGGCATTAAGGTAAATATGATTATGTATCTATTGTTTTTATAGAATTGAAGACAAAACTTTAAAAATAGTTATCTGTAGTTAACAATAACAAAATATTACAGAATAATAATTAAAAATGGGTTTGTATTCAATAAGTTTTGAAATGTTTGAGTCAATAAATTAAAAATTAAATTAGAAATGAAAAATGAAATTATCTTTAAGTATTTTTTCTAAATAAAAATAATTTATGTTTAAAAAATAAAACATTAATACAGTAAACAACAGTCAATTTTTTAAAAACTGACTGCTGTTTACTGTATTAATGAATTGACTTGTAATATGTTAATATACAATTAGGATCAGAGTAGATTTGGACTTGTGTTGATTCAAATGAGGTCAGAAACTTTAATCTAAATCAAAAGTTTGTATGTTAAAATTCAAAATTTTTTGATTTGTTATCAGTTTTTTCCCCTTGTCATCTTTATACTATTTTTGTATCTGTGATGATAATTCTTTAATATCATGTCTACAATTTTAACATTTAATATTAAGTTTGGATTTAGAAAATATCATATTTTACTGTTTTTATATATATATGTTACTATGAAAGACCAATAGAGAGGTTGAGGCGCACGTTTTAAACGTGAAAACGTGTACGTGTGACGTTCGGCGCCGCTTTCCCGTAAGCCTAAAAGTTTGACAATGGTGTTTGGATAGTCGGTGGAATCACGCTCGACATTTCAAACACCATCAACCTCTCTAATAACTGGCAAATGTTGAGATTCTCTGGTGAATGTCAGCATTCACACAGTTGTTTCGTGTATGTATGAAATATTTGCTAAATATCATTATTTCTCACTTACACAGCAAATGTTGACATTCAGCATGCACTGATGGTGAATGTTGAATAAAAATATTTTTATTACATTAATTTAAGACAAAAATGCAACTTTTTAATATGTCAAAATAGGAGAAAGCTTAAGTAACAGCATATGTAAATAAACTGTTGAACCTAAAATGAACAGTACATTCTTAATCAGAAAAGAAAAATAATACACAATAGTAAACTTACACATATATTATGTGATTAAATTAATGTTATACAATCTTATTTATTGCAACAACTTAAACTGTTATGACACTTTGAATTGCACAAGAGTCCCTTGCTTTTACAACTGCATTTATTCATGGAACACTTCTTTTTGCAATGAGAGCATGTATAGCCTTGCCCTCCACTTTTCGAATTATCTGCAGCTGCTTCTCTCAGCAATATTTCTTGAGAAGAAATCTCATCTATGGAAAGTAACTTTTCTTTACAAATTACAAATTGATTGTAGGTATAAAGCTGCTTGAGGATTTTTTTTGTGTGCTAATTTATGAAAGTTGGAGTCTTCTATTCCAACAACAACTGTCAACAAACTTTGGACATCTGTACAGTCACGGTCGACGTCAAGAACTTGTATTTGTACAATATCACTAATTTGAGCAGGAGGAAATTCTCTTTTTGAGGTTTGTAACATTTTCGTTGCTTGCAATAGAATATTCTCTTTCGCGGCCACTCTTTTTATAAAAAAAATTTGTGTTGTTCAGTCAGGGCTTGACATGAAGACGTGATGGGTTGCAGCTCCTCTTCAATATTTTCCTTTGGAATATGGTATTTGTTATGGCCACTGCTCAAATTTCCTTCAAAAGTATTAACAGTTTCTTTGAGCTGTTCTTCTATTCAATATTTGTGATTTGTTTGCCAGGCAAAGATGAAGATGCTATGCCTCTTTTTGGTTTAATGCCAAACATTGCTTCATAAGGACTTTGGCATATTCCTTCGTGATATGTAGTATTCTTGGCAAATTGTACAAAGGGCAAACTATCTGACCATTTATTTGTATCGTTATTATTCATCCATGCAGTTAACATATTCTGTATATCCTATTGGCCCTTTCAACTGAGCCTTGTGTTTGACTGTTATGAGGCTTTCCATGAACTATCTTAACATCTTTCCACATAGCGCATAGTTTGGATATGACTTGATTACAGAATTCCCTACTGTTGTCTGAATGTTAAAAATATTTGAAGAAGGTGATATGCTACTACTTCAGTTGTCTTAGTTTTCAAAGGTAGTAACTGAATAAATTTCGTTAAATGATCTTGATACACCATTATGAACTTATATTTGCCATCCTTGTGTGACTATAGGTCTATCAGATCGACTTGACGTCTTGAGTTTAACTCCGAACTGACCATTGGTTTCACAACAATACCTTTTTTAGGTGCACTATGTTTCATTTGACATTGTTTACATAAATTTAAATACAACATTATAACTTCATATGTAATATTTTTGTATTTAAGTTGCAATTCTTTAAGCATATGTGTTCTTCCTTCATGGCCTGTTCTGCTGTGAGTTTGAAATAGTATACTGAACAATTTATCATTGATAACATAATACTGTATATTCATTTCTCCTGATTTTAATGGTACAATTAATTTCTCTTCATCATTAATTTTTAAAACGCCAAAACGTTTTAATTGTCTGTAATCCAAAGGTGTGCTGCACTTAGTTTTAGCAGAAATCACTTCAGAAAGTATTTTAGAGTACTTTTCTTGAGAAAGATAAAAACAATTATCTCGTTTACTTGCAATTAATGCATGTAACTTATCAAAAAAAAAAATTCTTGGTTCACTGCAGTATCCATTCAATATAAATTAGGGTATCGGATAAAAAAATAAAATTTAAGAAAACCAGCAAACCTTGTATAAGACTGACAAACAGCAGTGTTCCAGAATATAACAAATAGATACCATGTGATTTCAATTGCAGCAGAGCAAAGGATTTGGCAACTGACTGTCACCTTTCTATCGACATCGGCTTCTCGGGTGTCGTTTTGACCTCCACCAAAGCTTATCTGTGCTTGTCAACATACACCGCTGATTGTTCGAATGTATAACAATATAACCAAATAATCAGTCTTTCACTGACGTATTTTGTATGTGTCGACATTCTCTAATTTCAGTCTTTCACGGTAACATATATATTATGTTTTCAACCAATGATTTAAAATATTTTGTTGCTAAGGTCTAACATTCAATTAATAAAAATAATAATTTTTTTGACATTTCAAATTAATTAACAAAATTAATGTAACAAATTTATTATGGTTAAGTATTTTAAAATCTACTGTTTCCTGTGGGGAAAAATTAAATTTACTAAAGAGAATTAAATTCTGAAGTAATCAAAAGTAAAATGATGATGAATATGCAATAATACAGAGTAAGCTTAAATCTTTCTTTTATAAACTATTTTTAAAATAAATTATTATAGCTTTGTGTTTGTCATGCTACATTTTAATATTACAAATTTACATTTGCAAGAATTTGAAAAATATAAATATAAAAACATTTGCAAGAATTTTTCAAATTCTTATAAATGTTTTTATATTTTCTCAACTCTTAGACTTTAAAAAGTCCATGACTTTAAAAAGTCTTCAAGTCTAATTTCAGAGAGAGAAATTTTTGAATTTGAGTGAATTTTGTTAACAACAAATACTAAAAATGTGATGAACAGATAACCTTTGGCAGTTTTATTACCATACTCTTCTGCATATACAATAACTATTTATTCTAATACTGCGTCATAATGTGTGTATAATCTTAAAGGCATTTTAAATGTTAAAAGGAGTTTAAATTAAATGTTTGTTGTTATGAAAGTTTATTTGAATCTTCTGTATATGATCATTGAACAGTTTAGCCGAAAAACATCTATTATTGATGCATAACATGTCACTTGGTCTGTTTGCAATGATATATGATCGTTGTTTTGGACTGTGAATGTAAATTCATCTCTACTTCAGAGCATATAAAAATGAGTTTTATATTTCCTGAATTTTAAGACACTTTTTAGAGTCTTAGAATTCAGGAAATATAGTAATTGTATTCTGTGATATCACTATTAATACAAATTACAAATTGATTGTAGGTATAAAGCTGCTTGAGGATTTTTTTTGTGTGCTAATTTATGAAAGTTGGAGTCTTCTATTCCAACAACAACTGNGTGAAGGTGTATCTCGCAGAGATTTTAAAACAACCAAAAGTAGCGAACAAGTGTTAAAGGAATTGAGGAAATTTGTTGAAGGTTTTTCAAATATAATTGTAAGTGTTTTCTACAGAATAATTTAAATTTAATTTAAGCATTAAAAAAATTTTAAATATAAGTAATATTTTTAATCTTTAAACTAAACATCTGTGATATAAGTAAAAAAAAATTGAAGAATTGTGTATACTGTATTTATTTTAATAGAAAAAGCATTTTATAACAGTAAGTGCTGTCTATTGGGGAATATAAGGCTTATTCTAAACTGAAAGACAAAGACTGCACATTCTATTTAGCATTGTCGCCCCTGCCAAATTTTTTGTAAGTCTACCAAAATGTATTTAAGACCATAGAGAAGGTGGAGAGAGCAGGACTATTTCAGTTTAAGAGGACAGAACTCAAATATATCTAAACTCATTATTCTTAAATGATGATAATTGATGATAAAAGTTATTAGAGTGAATTCATTAATAGTCACTCTAGAATACAGGCTAGAACCTGTAAATTTGTCTTTCTTTAATTAAAAGTACTAGAGTGTAGTTTACATTTTAGAATGAATGCTAATTAGTGTAACCCATTATAAATTAGTTGGCATTTTCTCAGTAATGCTACAAAATAATAGTTGCAGTGAAACTTGGAAACAATTATTTTTGAATAAGTGTGGTATAAATAATACAGTTGCAAAATGGAAATAGATAGCATGATGTTTATTAGAATAAATACAGTAGTTTAATTGTATTTGATTTAATTTAATTAAGAGAGGAGTTATAATTAGATTCTATAATTTATTTTAAGGGTTAGTTAGTGGCATTTCGCACTAGTTTATGAACATAAATGATTTAATTTTTAGCCTAAGTTAAAAATATACAGGGGGGGTGCAAAAGTAGGTATAAAGTTGTCGTTATGGGAAAAAAAAACATACAGGGAGAAAATAAGAAGAAAAACAACATTTATTTTTATGTACAAATTAAATCACAAATAAGGAATATGAACTAATAAAAGATGATAAAAATAATAATAATGAACACCAAACACTTGTGTTTCTCAGATTATCAACTGTATACCTACTTTTATACCTTCCTGTATATTTACAATATATAGGTATTTCTCAATATTCAAAAATTTATTTTAAGAATCAAAATTATTATTATTGTTGTAATTTTTAAAAATTTTTGAAAGGATATGAGTTATTTACTAATGTTATATATTTTGTGTGTGACGAGAAATAAATAATATAACTAACTATTGCAGCTATCTAAAATCATAAAAAGAAATAGAGCATTTATGTACACAAGATACTAATGAACCTTTAGTTTAATTCTAAAGTTTGATATTTTTGAATGCATCATAATAGAAGAATATTGTTAATTGTATTTAAAAGCTTCATCTTCCACATTTTAATGCAGTACAATTTTATCTTTTAACTCTCAATATAACTTCATCATTCAGAATGCATCTGTCAAGTTAATTTTTCCATTTGTCTTCCTGGATTAAGATTTGTCATTTGTGGATACAGTTTAACTCATTTTTTTCACCCACTTATTAATTGAATTCTTTTGGGGTGCATGAACAGCTGTTCATGATGGGCTGTTGTGAGACAAGCATGAACAGATGCAATAGTGTCTTTATCTGCTATCCATAGACTGGTGAAAGTCTCAGATGGAATCCTATCTCTTCATGTACCATTGGAAAGTGACTAGCAGAGGCAAATTTGCATACATGATGACACTATGTCAACATGTAGTTAATCTTTTCTTCTACTGTTGTCATTTTCATTCGTCTGTAGTGCCTGAAAAGAAATTTAAATTATTTTATTTACTCAAACTAAATAAATTGCAAAATTTCAGAATCAAGTTTTCAAGTGTTTTTATTCTGTGCATTTATCATGTATATGCCCAAGTTGTGCATGGATTTTATAAGCATGGTGTATATCAGGTCGGCAACCTTTCAGTGGTGTTGTGCCAAACCAAATTTATAGTGTTATTCCGGGTGCTGCTATGATGCTACCAGTTTTTTTATATATAGTATCAAAATTGGTCTGGTTATAATGGTCTTCAAAAATTAATAATTTAAATAATTTTTACTAATTTCTATTCAATCAAAGTGATGCTAAAAATTGTCCCACGTGTCATAGGTTGCCGACCCCTGGTGTATATAAAATCAAGACTCAATTTAAATTCATCAAAATTAATTTTTATCTTGATTTTCAACCAACNAAAATTATAGAAAAGTATGCATTAAAAATATATTCTTATCATACAAATAAAAAGATAAAAAAAAGTAAAGAGTGAATATAAAAAATGTCAGCAATCTTCTGTTTTGTTATTCAAGTGTGATACGAAAGGATTGTGACCATTGTGTGTGATACAAGGGAGAATGGTAGTTGTATGCTTAGTGTCAGTTTCAATGCTTACAGTATTGAAATGACTACAATATTTACTTCAGTGTGGACTCTTCAGAAAAGGATTTCCTTTATAAAAATTAACTACTCACCACACTTATATAACAATCACATACACAGAACCAATTTATGGTGTGGTATGATCGACTAACAAGTACAAAAACAAATGTTTTCGACCCCTTCTGGGCTCTTCATCGGGTTCCCACAGTTTTAGCTCGTAAATTCGAGTAAATTCGATTCTTCGAGTAAATTCGATTCTTGAATCGAATTTACTCGATTCTTGAATCTGAGTAAAAATAAATTCGAGTAAATTCGATTCAAGAATCGAATTTACTCGAATTTATTTTTACTCAGATTCGAATTTAGCTTGTAAATTTGATTCAAGAATTGAATTTACAAGCTAAATTCTGTGTATGTGAAGGACTTCCTTTTTTGGGATATAACAAAAAAAACGCATAGTATTTTTGGAGTGCTGTATTTTAAAAAAGGGCTGAAATAGTACCAAATTGGATAATGAAGAAATGTTAATAAAATGCTACAACAAAATAGTGTTAAATTTTATGCAAAAATATGCGTTTTATGAAAAAATTATGCAATACATTTTTTTTATCAACTAGGTATTACAGGAAATCCTTGTTAATTCGAACTCAGATAGTTCAAAATTTTGTTAGTTCGTAACTGTACTTTTGTCTCGGCTGGAGATATACCTGCAGTTTATTTATATTATTATTATTATTTTGGGTTTAGAGGGTTATACTTGGTTGACACTGGTGGCTGTGTACTATGCCAGACCAGAGTCAAGGCATAGCAACCAAAAAAAAAAAATTAAATAAGTGTATCAGTGTCTGTATTCAGGAATTTCCTAACAATATAGCATGTATTCAATATAGTGGCCTTCTGTAGTGTGATGTACGTATTTCTATTCAATTGTAATGTTTCCAGGCTTTTGTATGGTGTGTGTGGTATCACACCTGTACAGGAGAGAATGACAGTACAATAAGCACCCTATCCATCCTCCACAGATGCCTTATTTCCTGGGTGAGTTCTGTGTATTTCCTGATTTTTTCAGTGCACGTGTTTTGTATATTGTGAGTGTTTGGAACAGATATGTCTATAATGTATGTGATTTTATTGTGTTTGTCAATGAGTGTGATGTCTGGTCTGTTGTAGTAAATTGTTTTATCTGTGATTATGGCTCTGTCATAGTACATTTTGTATGTGTTGCTTTCAAATACTGTCTGTGAAATGTATTTGTAGTATGGTTCATGAGTGTCTAATAATTTGTGTTTGTTTGCAAGCTCTTGATGTATTTGCTACTTGACTATGTCTGTGTAAATAATCTGTCTGTGCCAAGAGCTTGCAACCAGAAGTGATGTGTTGTATAGTTTCTGGCATGATGTGACATTTTCTGCATGTGTCATTTGTGAGTGTTGTATCTTTGAGTATGTGTTTTCTGTAGTTNAAGTAATCTGTCTGTGCCAAGAGCTTGCAACCAGAAGTGATGTGTTGTATAGTTTCTGGCATGATGTGACATTTTCTGCATGTGTCATTTGTGAGTGTTGTATCTTTGAGTATGTGTTTTCTGTAGTTTTTAGTATTTATGACCTGATCTTGTATGGCAATCATGAACCTTCATCTCTCCAAAGAGGCATCCCTGAGCTAATCAGCTATTTGGCACAGTTTTTAAACAAAATTCTAGGCCAGGTTATAGGGATGTCTGCCATGGAGTATCTTTCGAGCCCACGATTGCTTAATGGTGTCTATGCTGTTTATATGTTGTGTTATGTCCATATGATGTGAGTGTAAGTTTAATTGTGCATTATTTGAGTCTGCTAGAGTTACTGCTTTATATAATTGTGATGTTTCTTGTTTTTTGTAGAAAAACTCTCGCAGTGTCTGTATTTGTTTGTAGTGGAGATTAACTATGTTGATCAGGCCACATCTGCCATCTTTATGTGGAAGGGTTAATCTTTCTATGGCAGATTTAGGATGACGATGTTTATGCTTAGTAAGTGTTGCTCTTGTTTTCATTTGGAGTTGCTCAAGATCTGTGTGAATCCAATGTATAACTCCAAAAGAATAAGTGATTACTGGGACAACATACGTGTTTATTGCTTTAACATCATCTTATTTCATCAGTGAATGAAATACACGCATAAGAAACATGACGGCTGTGATAAAAATATATAAATAAAACTTTAATAGAATATGTAAAAGTTCATGTCACACCAGTTGCAGAACACTGGTCTAACAAATTAAACAATAAAGAATATAATATAATACTAGCAGGTAATCCAGCATTTCCCAGACAAAAAGTAACAACAAACATTAAGTTTATTAGATTATTTCATACTTCTAACCCTTCTATTATATAAATCAAATACTATGATATAAGTACGAAGGTTACAAAAATCATGTGATTTGATGAAAACAAGCTCTATTAACAACTAAAACTATAAGTGTACATTCTATTGTGAATAGTCACATGTATTTAATGGACTTGAAATTATTGAAACAATAGATTCTTGCAAAAAATATTCAAAATAATTAAATGTCAAACAGATTTCTTCCGTAAAAATAAAAAAAATTTCTTTTGTCATCATCAACTCTGTATGTTGTCCAAATGTCCTTGAACGGATGTCCAATAAATCATCATTG